TCATATCACCCAATGATTTCATTCTTGGGTATATATATAAATAGTTAATAAAATATGGACCAAATGTTCATAAAAGTTTTATATAACAACTCTAAATTCAAAACAAGCCAAGTGTTCATTAACAATAGAATAAAGTATACTGTCTCCCTATACTAGAATGCTATACAACTATTAAGAAAAATAAACTTCATGTGCAACATGGATGAATTTTATAAACATAACATTAAGTAAAAGAAGTGAGCACAAAATAAATATTCTACTTTTTTGAAGTTTCAAAAGTGGTAAGAAATAAAGGTAGTTATAGCAATCAGAATAGCTTTTACACTAGAGGTTACTAACTGAAAGGGGTACCAGGGAGTTTCTAGGGTGCTAGAACTACATCTTTACATTGTTTTTGATAGTGGTTAAGCAGTATACACATACTTACAAATGTATCAATCCATACACTTAAGATTCACATACTTTAGGAAACATAAATCACATTTCAGTAAAAATTTTAAAACTAACAAATTCACTGAGGAAAATAAGGTAAAACAGATTGAAAATATATTCCTTGTAGAGTCTGATCTTATGAATTCTTTGACCAAGACAAGGAACAGACTATTCTCCAAGGTAGTGTTGATTGAGAAGTTTATGACCTAATAGTTTAATACAAGAGAGAATGCCAAAGGACAGGACTCACTTGTCCTAAGTCTTGTCCCTCATTCTTGATCTTTCTACTTAATACATGTTAACTTTCAAATATTCGTGTTCTGTTTATGTATTAATGGGAAATATAAACTGGAACAGTATTCTATAAATTTAACTAGTATCAATTTATAGTATTATAATGTGAAAATATTTTAAGAATATTGACTTGAGGTTGCCTGTTGTGTATAAAATAATTATGATAAGGAAAGACTGACATCATTGAGGTGAATTTTGTTGCATTTGTAATGCTTCTGTTCAGAAAACCTCCCTTTACCCAAGAATATACTCAGTATATATTGCTGCAAGAATATATATATAAGCCAGTATAATTCCCTGGTTAAAATGTTCTACTTGGTTTCAGATTTATTGCAAGCAACCAAAATCTTCAAGCAATGAAGACTCATTTAGATCATTTGGGAAGCTTATCCCTGATTCATACACTAAGACAGATTCTGTCTTTCTTCTTCAGTGAATAAGGCTCAGTCTGATGTGATAGTCTCTTCACTTGAGTCCACTTACTTTTCTATCTTCTATTCAAACTCTGGGTCATGGCCATGAATTCTAGTCTCTATCTCTGTACCTTTGTCACTTCTGCTGGATTCATGGTTTGCAAAAAATCTCTACCTACTGCCTGTCATTTTCCAATCCTTCAACCTCACCCACTGATTCTAACTCTGAGGATTATGAAGACTCTGAAGTCTATATGTTCATAATATTTCAATAGGGATACTTTAATAATTACCTAGAATTAACCCTCATTTAATCCACATCTGAAATGGTTAATATACTGCTTTTGTTCAGTATCAATCCTTATCTTCAGGTTTTGACCCAGTTGACCTGAGCAGATATTTGAACCTTTAGCAAAGGTTGTTCTATTTTCTTTCTTTTCTTTTCTTTTCTACTTTTGGTTGTTCCATTTTTCTTGACAGCCTCAATCCTTTGAAAGTTTGACACTGAGTGTTTATGTTACACCTAGCTATAGATAACAAGTCAAAACTTGAACTCAAAATTCTTAAGATCCAGCTTTAGCAGTTACCCATCAGCTTAGTTGCCATTAGTTTAACCAAAGTCCAAAGATTTTTTTAAAGAAGTCATACATGCGAAGGTAACCATAATCTCAGCTGACACTAATTGTCCCATAATCTTCCCAAGAGGTCATGGTAAATTTTCTTGTAGTTGCGTGCAATTTTTGCTTAGAATATAAACTCTGCTATTAAATCATCAATTTTCAATATTTTATCAAATACCCTATGTATCTTATATCATGAAACAATGATTTCCCCATTTATGATAGAAGATGTTATATTTATATGTAAAATGTCCAAGTTGTATTTATGTTTCAATGACATGAGATGTATGTTTTCCAAAGTCTTCTAGCAGAATTAATTACCATCTATTTGCAAAATTCACTTTGGGTTATGAAGTCCAGTAAGCAGTAGGGAATTCTGAAAGGAGTAAGACAAGAGCTGGTTGGGACATTCAGTCTTACGAACTTAGGAGCTATCTGTATCTTTAATACTGGATTTTATTCTAAATAAAGGAAGTTGAATTTCAAAGAACTTGAGGATTTATCATTATCATAGATAATAGTAGAATAGAGGGAAAAACATTAATATGTTATCTCCAGGACCAGCATGAATCTTATTTTATACTATATTGAGCTAAGAGAATGCTATATGTATATCAGAAGTACCCAAATATGAAATAGACAATTATTTCAGTTGTTAAAAAAAAATTCATCTATTAAATACTTTTAAAAATAACCTGGGTATCAGGTATACTTATAAATAAAATTAGATTATATAATTTTTAATGATAACAGTCCAAATATTTGGTTCACATTTTAATTCTGAATATCAATACCTCTATTAATTCTCTTTAAAGGTCTTAAAAATGACTGGATATTTATAGTAATATATTCATAATAAAATCACTTACAGAGAAAAAATATAGCTTAAAATCAAATTTCACCACAATGTTAAGAAAATTACTAGTTATATTATCATAATAATGTTCATAATGAATATAAAATAACAATATAAATATTAGAGAAAAATATTTGATATGAAGTATGTTTTCACCTGCAAATTTAAGTACATAATTTTTATATAAAAGAAAAAGTGAAAAATGTAATCTACATTTTGTTAGTTTGTCAATGCCAGTTGGTTAGTGTAAACAGCTAAGTTATATATAAGATTTTTTTTTAATAGTTTGGAGGTATAACTAAAGTTTTAAGTTATAGCCATGGAAACATTGCAACCATCAAGACAAGTAGCATATATATCACCCCAAAAAGTTTCCCTCAGAAAATGCAGCACAGAAGTTATAGACAGCCTCATAGTGGAGACATGCTTGAATAATTATTGTTACATTTATATGCATATATGTGTGTACATAACACATAACTTTTATGTTTGCATATTTTACAAATGTGTATGTGTATATTGATATATAGTAAGGGCTATAAACATCAATGTGTATGAATACATAAACCTATTATATTTCAGAAGCTCCTCTTTTATGTTTTCTTCAATTAATTCATGGATTTTTTTTAAGGATTACTGGTTTTTTTTAAGACATGGTAAGAAAATGAGACATATATTCCGTCATCTATGTCACCATATTGCTGTAAATGTTAGGACTCAAGGGTATGTGACATTTAGAGAGAGAGAGAAAGAGAAAGAGAGATGAGAAAAGTGAAGAGACATTTTCTGGCATGTTTTCTCTGAAAGTACTGATAACAGAATTCCTCTCACATTAAACTTGCTTAGTAGTGGGTGGGATAGCTTGAGAAAAATTACAAACCACATGTTGTATACTATTCTGCACAAAGTATTTAACCTGATCTGAGAAAGTTTCAGTTTTGTAAAATGAGAGCCATACAGCTTTGTCTGCTTCCCATTCAGCAAGATGGATTCAGAAAAAAACTTGACAGATTCTAAAAAGAAGATGCCCACCAAACGTAATAACCTGTGCTTAAAATGCCCCAGAATTAGTCCCTATCAAATAGAGGTAAAGGGCAAGTTGTATTAGCTTTAATTGGCTTACTCATAATGACAACCATTCTTAGCAAAGTAACCAGATAATTACAGAATATCCCTAAATCATGTTTGCAGATTATTAGTAGCAGGATCACGCTGGTACTTCGGAACAGTTAATTCAAGTCTAAAGTCTAGTCTGTTGTGTTTTGTATTAATTTCCAATTATTAGTTAAATAAATTATTATAAATGTAGTATCTTAAAACAACACAAATATATTATCTTAAAATTCTTGGAGGTTAGAGTTCAGATGGATCTCAGTGGGCTAAAATCAATATGTCAATATGTCAACAGGGAAAGTCCAGTGGTGAACCTGTTTATTTTTCTTATTTCCAGAAGTTGTCCATATTCTTTGCTTCATGTTCTCTGTCTTCAAACTCAGCAATAGGTCTCAGAATCACTAAAAATGCCATCCTCTTTCACATATAAATATTTCTGCCACTACATTGAGCTCACCAAGGTAATTTCCCTACTTGAAAGTCAACTGGTTAGCAATTTGAATGTCTTCTACTTTAAATTTACCTTTGCCACAAAAGGTAACATATTCAAAAACTACAAGGATTAAGATATTAAATCTCGGGCCCTCCCTGGTGGTGCAGCGGGTTAGAGAACTGCACGGCGAAGCTAAGCCAAGCCGTGGCCATCTCAGTGTGAGTTTGATCACCGTCCCAGACTAGACCCACAAGGCATGGCAGACCTCTCCTGTTGTCTCCCACTGCTTCCTCAGCAGTGTACTTTGTCGATCTGCCTGTTCTGCTTCCCACTCTGTCTCTGGTGAATCCTCTCACCACCCCCACACTGCTGGCCTGTACCCCAGTTCTGTATGCATAAATAAATCAATCTTAAAAAACAAACATGGCCCGGGCCCTCCTTGGTGGCAAAGCGGGTTAAAGCACAGCACAAAGAAGCTTAAGCCACTTCCACATGCGTTCGGTCCCTGCCTGCCCCGAAGGAGATCCACATGGCTTGGCAGACCTCTCCTGACCCGCCCGCTGCTCCCCTCAGCTGTGTACTTCGTAGATCTGCCTGTTCTGCTCCCCGCTCTGTCTCTGATGAATCCTCTCACCCTCTGCATCTCTGGCCTGTACCCCAGTTCTGTATGAATAAATAAATAAATCTTTAAAAAACAAACAAACAAAAAACTTTTTTTTTTTTTTCTTACAGGTCTCCAGCAGAAAATACACAGACATGCAAAACTGGTCCCAAAACAGGCTTACTACATTTTTAAACAAGTTGTGAATAGTCTAAATTTGTTACATTTCTTTTCAGGGATGACAATGAAATACTTCTTGTCTTTGATTGTGACTGCTGGTATCCTACCTGTTTTGATTTTAAGTGTAGGTAACGACTGCGTGTTTCATAGTTTGCAGATAAGAATAAGTGCTTAATCTATAATAGAACTGACTTTGTAATATACGCTTGTGCAGATACTATGCCCAGTATTCACCTAGTTCTCCTATTAGCCCTTTTTGGTAAGTATATTCTTAATCCTGTATTACAGAGAAATTAACTAAAGCACAAGGAAGTTAGATAATCTGACTAAGGTAAGAGAAGAAACAGTGGCAGAGTCAGAAGTAAACCCAGGTGGTCTGAAACTTTTTTATTATAGCCCACTGGATGCTCCAAAAAGACTGAGAACTACTTCCTTATATCCATATATCTTCCATGGCTAAATGGAAAAAGTACTGTTATTTTCCTCTTTACTTTTTTTTTAACCAGAGAAGGCATTTCACCCATATCTCAAAAGAGTTATCTAGTATAGCAATAATTTAACACACCAAAATTAAATATAAAATGAAAGGTACAAGGGAAATACATGAGCAATGAGAGAAACTCTTAGCAATGGAATCAATATAAAAGGTCTGAATTTCATTACTTTTTAAAAACAAAAAATTCAATATTCACAAAACACTTAATGGTATAATATAAGGAGTAGGTCCCTAATATTTATGATTACCCAATAATATCAAACATGCTATAACCTCAGTGATAAAAGAAAATATTACATTTTTTTTTAATTTACCACAAATGTTTTCATGATGATATAGTAGCTTTGGTATAGAAAATGAGTAATTCTTACATTTTCATATGCTAATAGAAGTCAAAAGTAGAAGACAGTTTTGTGAATGAAAGAAATTCATGTGCATCAAGATCAGTAAGGGGCTACTTTGGTGTTTGGAGCTTATCCTCACACCTTGTCCCAAAGAGAAAGAGGTTGAGTTCTTGTCCAATACACAGTAATATTCAGTAGGCTGCAAGTTTTTCTTTTGAAGCTGTCTCCTTTCTTCCCTCTGATTCCTACCTCATAGTGGAATCTACATATTCCATGGTAACAAAAGCTAAGCTGAAGTATAGTAAATATTCTGGAATAAAAGGAGAAAGACCAACTGAGAAACTTACATATGCCTTTGCCATCTGATTAGTACTAACCTGGTGAAGACCACTTAGCCTATGTTCTGGGAGGTAAATTAGTTCAATGTGTAAATTGCCATGTGAAAGAATGAATCAGTGTTACTAGTTAACAGCCCAAATCAAAAAGTAAATAGCAGAATCCCTCCAATCAAGGGAACAAAGATCTGATCCACAAACGGACCAAGAGTAAAAAGGAAAAATATAAAAGGGCTGAAGGTATTGATAAAAATAAAATGCATGTATTCTACAGAAAGGTACCTAGGGGGAAATTTGCATATAATTTTACAGATAGATTTCTCTGGAAACTAAGAATTAAAAAAGTTAAGTGAAAATAAGACTTGTATTTTGTAACACTGCCATTCAGAAATCCTTAAAACTAGCATTAGAGAAATAGAAATTAATATACTAATAGCATATATTTCTAAAGGCTATATAGATATAATTGTTTATTCAATATTGTCTATAAATTCTTATTTGCATAAGTTTATAATGCAAATTCTTATTTGCATAGGAAAATATAATGTATATGATAAACTCCACTTGAAAGAACTAAAACTAATAATTTTCTGGTAACAGGTAAGACCAGCTGCAGTTTCATATCGTATACTACTCACTGAACTGGAAGCTGTCCAAAGAAAAATTGTTATTATGCATAACACCCTTAGGAGAAATGTAGTTCCACCAGCCAGGAACATGCTGAAGATGGTAAGATTAATTAAATAGCAACAACAATAATAATCACGGTATTTTCACGGTATTTTTGTCACATTCAAAATACTAAAAGTTTCTTACTCACAAACAAACCAATGAAATAGCAGAAGAGTAAGAGACTCAGAGGAGGTAACTTTATCAAAGTCATAGCGGTGACAAAGCAGCAGTTCTAGCTCCCTTCTTTTTCTTCTTTTTTTAAAGATTCATTTATTTATGCATACAGAACTAAGGTACAGGCCATAGGTACAGGGATGGTGAGAGGCTTCACCAGAGACAGAGTGGGAAGCAGAACAGGCAGATCGACGAAGTACACTGCTGAGGGGAGCAGCGGGTGGGTCAGGAGAGGTCTGCCGCCCATGTGGTCACCTCTGGGGCAGGCGGGGATCGAACTCATGCAGAAGTGGCTTTAGCTTCTTAGTGTTGTGCTTTAACCCACTGCACCACCAGGGAGGACCCAAGCTCCCTTCTTAGTGGCCCCAAGTCAATGACTCAAACTTTTGTATGGTCAACAGTCTTTTGGAGAATGTATTAATTAGAGCACAGAATCTTGGGCCCCACTTTCTGATCCTGATTTCACTTGAGTGAAGTGCAGCATCCCCAACATCCCAGCTAATGCTGGGATAGTGAACTTCATTTAACATTTCATAGTTGTTATCAATGGACAGTAGTCAAGGGAATGGAGAATCTTAGAATTAAGTTCAGATTCTAAGTTAGTGCAATCAAACCCTATAAAGCCATGTTGTCCCTCTGACTACAGGCTACTGAATACATCTCATGGTTTAAGAAATTCATCAACTGAGGAATATTCTATGAAAGTTACATATATGGCAGCATACATATGTATATATGTATATGTATCTGGGGGAGGGAGGATATGCGTGTTTGTGTGTTTGTGTACTGAGGGAAAACTTCTTTGAGACCAAGAAAAATACTGAAAATCAAAGTTTGTTGTCATCAAATTATTCTAAGAATAATGTAAAGATTTATGTAAAAGTCTATGGTAAAAACAGGCCCTCCCTGATGGCACAGAAGGTTAAAGCACAGCACTAAGAAGCTAAAGCCACTTCCTCATGAGTTCGATCCCCACCTGCCCTGAAGGTGACCCACATGGCGTGGCAGACCTCTCCTGACCTGCCTGCTGCTCCCATCAGTAGTGTACTTCCACGATCTGTCTGTTCTGCTCCCCATTCTGTCTCTGGTGAATCCTTTGCCATCACCTTTGGCCTGAACCCCAGTTCTGCACACACACAGACACACAAAGTCTATGGTAAAAACAAACACCATGACCTTTTTTGGCAATGTTTTACATGCAGATATTTGAGGATGAAAGAGTAATTTTGGAAAATGTCTACAGCTAGTGATATAGGCTTTCTGCTTTTTAGCTTTCTTGGAGAGAGATCTGTCAAAATACTTCAAATCAATAGGGCTAAGCACACATTGGGAGATTGAGGCTAATCTAGATTCCCATTTTCTTTTTGTCACTGTGGCTTGTGTTATACTGAAAAATTATGCAACATCTCTGAGCCTAAGTTTCTCTGAGCCTACTATTTCTGATAGTATTTCCCTTTTAGAATTGTTATGAATAAAAGTGAAATACTACAAATACAGAATTGGAAACAAATCCTGACATGTTAACTTAGTTATTTCTTTTTCTGATTAATTTTAATGGAGGTATGTGATCCTGTACTTGCATCGTATCACAGTTAACATCTATTTGCTGAGCATACAACATACTATATTTCATATCACAGTGGTTTTGCATGATTTATAACATTTAAACTTCTGAAAAAAAACTAATTAAGTATGAATTATGAGTCATAATTTACAGGCGAAGAAACTGAGAGTCGGGCCTCCCTGGTGGTACAGGGATTAGAGTCTCAATGCTATCAAGCTGTTGCCAGACATTGCAGCATGATTCTGATCACCAGCCAGTGAGCTGACCTACATGGCACAGCAGACCTCTCCTGTTTTGCCTGCTGCTCCCCTCAGCAGTGTATTTCAGTAGATCTCCCTCTTCTGCTCCTTACTCTGTCTCTGGTGAATCTTTTCACCTCCCACCCCTACCCCCACATCCCTGCACAGCACTACCAGACTATACCCCAGTTCATGTATGCATAAATAAAAATAAATCTTAACAACAACAACAACAACAAAAATACCCTGAGATTCAAAGATATTAAATAATGTGTCTGATGTAAAATTACTAATAAATGATGGAATGGATTTGTACTCCAGGTTTCTTCACTGGAAATATTTATTTACACTCTTAACACCTCTGAGAGAGAGCTACATTTGAACATTACAATCAAATTTTGATTTTGTAAATTCAGGACTAATACAATAAATTGAAAGTTTTTTCTTGCTCTTTCAGTGACAATATTTGAGTATTATTATCTAAAAATCAATAGCTCATACATCTGAGGATACTGTTAACTTTGTATTTTTTAAAACTATTAACTAGATTATGATGGAATTATTAATAAAATCATTTGTTTGTATTTTACATGTTTATTGTAGAATTGGAGTGAAGAAGCTGCACAAAATGCCAGAATTTGGTCAAATAACTGTGAATTAAAAAAGAGCAATGCACTTAAGAGGCGAATTACAAGTAAGTATAAATCTATATGATCCACCTTTATGTTATGCTCAAAAGTCTTCAGGGATTATTAAGTAGCCTGGCAAGGATAAGTTAAGTCACACTGCCTACAGTTGCATTTGACCCATAAGTGCCCCCCTAAAAGGCAGTAATTGTGGCCCAGTGCACCCTTTCATTACTATGAGTTTTATTTTTTATTCAATATATAATTTACTTATATACATTTTTACATATGACTTTGTATATTCAAAGGTTCAAATTCCAGATTCTGACCATTAGAGAAAAGAATCAAAGCTCTCAACATTAGAAATAACTGAAAAGTACAATGATAACTGGGTGGACAGATTGATAGCTGGAAGGTTTCTATTTTATGTAGTTACTACAACTACCCAAAATATTGTCATGGGGATTTCTTTAGCTTTGAAACACTAATGTAGTTGAGAAATGAGTTAAATTTACTGAGCAATTAGAAACAATTTAAGTACATATGAACATCTCATAGTATTTAAATAGTATTAAATCTCATAGTATTTAAATTAGGTTGATTACCATTAGTTTCCAGAAAAGCCATAAGGATTTTCTACACAAGTAGATGTTGATAATATTTATGAGATACTTTTGTATTATAATATATTTTTAAAATACTAGTGACATTAGTATTTTTACAAGGGAAAAAAAGTAGTATTTTTACAAGTATAACTATACTTACTCATTTGGGGGCATCTTTAGCCACTGCTAGTGGGTGATGGATTAGCAAAGTGATCTTTCCCCTGCACTAGAGAAAGGCGGATAACTCCTGAGTACGGTTTAATCAAGATACCACAATACAAGTGGTTCACTACGAAATAAATTCTTATTCCAAGGCAATTGCATGATGAAACTATTTTCAAGTAATAATTTATTTTGCAAACTGATAGGTTATTCTGGCTGGTTTCACTCCTCTCCATTAGCTTGAAAATGTGAGCAATTGAAAAGCTTGTTGAGATGATTTCAAAACTTGCACATCATCTCCTACAGTCAAATCTCACCAAACTTGAATACTCCAAGTTCATTTATCAGTGAAAACAATTACCAGCAGAGACACAGTTGAGTTTACCTACTCTCATGAAATGCTGCTTGGAACTGAAACATTTATACAACAGGAATAAAGAAAGGATCCTTATAAAATAGTATCAGTTTTTCTTTGTCTGACCTACCTCTTTTTCATCCTTTCAGACACATTTTGTGGAGAAAATATGTATCTGACATCTTATCCTGTCTCCTGGTCAAATGTAATTGGAACTTGGTATAACGAGTCTCAATATTTCAAATATGGGAATTGGGCATCAGCTGGTGGTGATGAAGTAATTGAGCATTATACTCAGGTAACCTGGATCTGGGCAATACATGTATTAGTAGAGTAATTCTATGCATGTATGAGAAATAGATGACTAAGAACCATGGGAAAACCATTCTACCATTAAAAGAAATGTGATTATCTCAAAAGGAAGTTTAGAGAACATGCCTTTTAACCTCTTAGTTTTCTCCTTTACATATTTGATTTTTTGGAAAGTTACAAAATCATAAAATATTGACTTTATTTATAAATCACATTTGTAGTATGTGTAAAAAATGGGGAAAAATAGTATAACATAGAAAATTACCTTTCCAGTTTTTTATGGTAAAATTATAATATGTATGTATGATTGCTATTTTAACCATCTTTAAGTTAGACAGTATTAATGGTCACTGGCATTGAATTCATTGAGATTACTATGCAAATATCACCAAAATCCATCTCTAGAAACTTTTATCTCTACAACTAAAACTTGCAAACAATATTGCCCCAGTCCCTCTTCTTTCCAGCCTTTGGTAAAGAGTATTCTAGTTTGTGTCTTTATGAATTTGACTACTTTACCTATTCATCCACAGATGGGCATTTAGGTGACATCTATCTTTTAGTATTAAGAATAATGATGCTATGAGCACTGGTAGGAAAAAAAAAAAATCTATTCAACCCCTGTTTTCAATTCTTGACATATAACCAGAAGTGGAATATAATTACTTGCGGAATTGGTATGTTGTTTTGCATTATATTGTGCCATTTTATATTCCCAAAAGCAATGCACAAAATTTTCAATTTCTTTACCATTCTATTTGGCTTGGACTGCCAAAACAAAATACCAGGGGCTGGGCAGATTAAACAACAGAATTTTATATTCTTGTCTTGTGTTATCTAGAAAACATGGTAATCATTCTGTTTCTAATACTGACAGTCCATGCTAAAAAAAATTCTAAAAATCAGTGTGTTTATTTTCAAACATGGATAATAATATCTATATGTCAATTGTTTAGCAAAATAGAATATCATTAATAAAATCACCTGTTCATCTTTACAGATTGTTTGGGCCACTACGTATCTCATTGGCTGTGGCGTAGCATCATGCCGCAAGAAAAAATCCACTCAATACCTCTACGTTTGCCACTACTGTCATGAGTATGTATGTTACTGGTGTCATAGGAATTTTAGAAATATTTGCCCCACATAGTCTACTGTTTCAAGCATTAAAAGAGAAATTTTAAATAGTTCATCTCAGTTAGGAAGAACTTTAGGGATAAAAAGTCACTTAGCCAATAACTAAAACATTACACATACATATATTTTCTTTTAGATCATATTTTTTATAAACAAGTATATATATTATTAATAGAATGTTCAAATTTAATAAAATTGCCAGTTGCCAAGCCCTGTTATCTCTTAAAGTAGATATTAAAAGAAAAAAACTGGAACTTTACTTCAATACTGAAGAGTATTTTCTCTTCAAGGCAGAAATGGAGTATCAAAAATGAACACAGAAAAAGTCAAATATTCTTCTAGTAATTTTTTACTTCAGAAAAGATGGTATATGGCTGATCTTTATAAATCAGATGTTTGAATTATCAGAAAGGTGAATGACAATTCCTAAAAGAGATTAGATTGTTTCAATGATGAGCAGACGTACTATTCTGTCCCTTTAATTGTTTATAGAGCAAGGTCAACTTCAGACAAGGGTACCTGCAAGGGTCCACGAGAATCAACTTGTGTGGTTTCAGTTATGATTATCAGAATGTTAGGATTATGGTAAGCTGACTAATTTGCTAATTTAAATTTTACCCTGCTAAGGCAAGTTGATGAATGGTCTGCATATTCCTAGTTCAGCTACATATATTTACTTGTACATTACATAAGGTTTTGTTCCTTAACAAGAGCTCCATGCATAGTGTTTATTTAAGCTATATCCTATGAAGGTAACACAATACTGATGTTTGCTATGAATAAAAATTATATATCTGATAAAATACTATCATATTTACACATTCAATAAAGCCTCTACTATCACTCTAGATTTTATAGATATGTTCAAGTGGAGCTTTTTATGAGTCATTTTCTGCTCTTCTCATATCTTGGTTTCATAAATTAATATTCACCATGATTTTATTTCTGTAATTAGTTCTAAAGACAGTAAGTTCTCACTGAATATATAATATCAATTGTACGAAATTTTTGCATGGATTGGTGGATTGTGGTGAATTTCTAACAGTGCAAAAAAAAAAGTAGATCACATGGAACTGTCATAGGAGAATTTTTTCAATCACAGATTAGACTAGTGCCTAGAAAAAGAAAAAAAAAAATTCTTCAAAAGAAATTTTAAAGAAAATTCTTCAAAAGAAATTTTAAAGAAAATTAAGCAATTCAGTTATTAAAGAAAAAAATAGCAAAAAGAATTTTTTTCACCCAGAATATTACTTTATTCTTAAATAATATTAAGTATCAACTAATCTACGTTGTTTTCTCAGTCATCTGAAGGCAAGACTTTTTTTCTCTCAACTCTCACACTTAGGTTTAGCATGTTGATGCTTTTCAACTTTTATATACTCTACGTACATAAAAAGAAACTAACGGGCCCTCCCTGGTGGCTCAGTGGGTTAAAGCACAGCACTAAGAAGCTAAAGCAACTTCAGCACAAGTTCAATCCCTGCTCTGGAGGTGATTCACATAGCGCGGGAGACCCCTCTTGACCCATCCGCTGCACCCCTCAGCAGTGTGCCTCATCAGTCATCCTGTTCTGCTCCCCACTCTGTCTCTGGTGAATCCTCTCACAGCCTCTGGACTGTACCACAGTTCTGTATGCAAAAATAAATAAAAATCTTTATAAAAAATGAAGTAAAAAAAACACTAACATGTACCAAGTTCCCATGACATAGTGCAAGATAAAAATAGAACATTTTTCAATTTCACTCATTTCTTTCTTCATGTTGTTAAGAATCATACCATTTATTTTATTTTTTTAAGATTTATTTATTTGTGCATACAGAGCTGGGATACAGGCCATAGGTGCAGGGACGGTGAGAGGATTCACCAGAGACAGAGTGGGGAGCAGAACAGGCTGACTGACAAAGTACACTACTGAGGGGAGCAGAGGGCGGTCCAGGAGAGGTCTGCCTTGCCATGTGGGCGGGCATTGAACTCAGCACCTCAGTGCTGTGCTTTAACCCACGCACCACCAGGAAGGTCCCCAAGAATCATACCTTTTTTAAAGACTCTTTGCTGAGTCTTTATGGGTAGAAATAAATACAAATGTCCTATTGCAAATGGCTCTAAAGTCTTCCTATTAGGACTTGACCATCTAAAGCTTCTATTAGGACTTCAAAATACAAAAAGTACATATTCCCCCAAAGTGTTCTTAAGCCCCAGATTTGTCTGTTGTTTACTCAATAAGATCCCACTGTAAGCCTAAAAATATTAAATCTCTTAGAGACTATCATGACTTTATATGTAGTTTTCAAAAATTGTTTTAAATTTGATTTTAAAATTTTGTTTTCAAAGTTGATTGTAAACAGTAAGTAAAATTATATTTTACCTTGTACCTTCCCAACAAATTTTATGACATCATCTTTTTTTCTTCATTTCTACTTTAAGAGGAAATGATCCTGGCAAAATGAATATGCCATATAATAAAGGGACCCCATGTGGAGCCTGTCCAGAAGACTGTGAAGATAAACTTTGTAGTAAGTTTTAGATCTCAATTTGCTTAATGTTGACTGGTGATTTAGAAGTCTTGTGTCCTTGAAATCAAACTTTTAACATTAGTGCACTTTCTACAAGTTTTTATTCACTCTTCCTACAAGAATTCTCCCTATATTATTTATGATTAATCCTCCCCCCCACTCCAAATTAAACAAAAGGGTCACTGATTAAATATATTGGAATGAAAATTAGAATTTTTCAACCTAAAAGCTCAAGCTCCTACCCTAAAGATTAAAATTCCTAAAAAGAGAACCTAGATTAAACATTAATGTGAGACTCAGTTTTCTGCTCTGTGAGAAGTTTCTGGACTTTCTTATTGCAGCCCTCAAATTAGGCACATAGTCCAGTATACTAGTTTATCTGCCTGATCACTTAGGTTAACATGAATTGTGAACCTTAATTCTTCTACATTTCCTCTGGAACATTAGACGATATTAACTGATGAAAACACTGTCCCTTACAACATTCCTTTTTATGTCCTAAGTAAATCTTACCTACAATGATATATTAACCAAATGGATTCCAATTACATATTTATTCACTTGGATAGAGAAATTTCCACTTTTTAGAATCTGCAAATATAACTATAATCCCTAGAAATATTATCATTTTCAAGTGTGGTATGATGTATACAATAACTATTGTAAGAATTTGTGTACCTGAAACCTATATAGTATTGTAAACATTTCCCTAATTTAAAAAAAGTGCATCATATTCATATTCTTCCAAAATGCTGCATAGCAGAAGATGCATATTTATGTATGTGTTTCCATGTTCACTGTGTAAAAACAAGTGAGAAAAATGCATGAGCCATTGTTTGAGATAATGTCTTGGTAAGACTGAGATACTTTTTGCTACTCTATATTTGGATTTTTGCCTAATTTTTACATTGCCTTTGTATTAATTTTCTTCATTCAAAAAAACTAAAGGAATAAGACTCATACTTCCTGACTTCAAAACTTACCACAAAACTACAGTAATCAAAACAGTCTGGTACTGGTAAAAAGACTGACAGATGGACTGTGGACAGAGGATTATTTGTGCCTTGTTGATGTATATAATATGGTAATCTGTATTTGAAAAGGTGTGAGCCTATACCTCTGATTAAATACAGTGCTGTGTTACATACCAAAGGTATCTCGATTAAAAATATTTTTAAATAACTTTATGTAAGAAAACAAACAATAATATTCCTTAATACAACAGATGAGTACGTATGGAATAAAATAGAAAACCCAGAAATAAACCATCACCTTATTACTATTAATAATTAAAAAATATAATTAATTTTAAAAATTCAAAAAATAATTCAAACATTGACATACTAAATTATAAATCATTAAATAAGTAAACGATAATAAATGAAAGTTATATTTTATATTATTACATTACTAAATTATGACATTTTATTCTATATTGTTATAGAATAAATTATAGTTCATGAAATTGATGATTTCAAAGTGATGTTATATTTAGTATTAGATGAATCTCTAATATGTTTAGATATATTCCTATCAAAAAAGAGACTCGTGATTCAAGAAACCTACTTAACATCAGCCCTGAGTGAATCTCCTGTAATGATTTAGCTCACTACTTGCTTTCCAATTAGTTGGTTATTAATAACATTTCTGTTATGTTTTTAAAGAGACTATCTCTTTCCTCAGTGACTGACTTCTGAAGCAGTGATGTATAACCAGGTTTTTTTTCTTCCAGCTAATCCCTGCCCCTACTATGATGAGCAAACTAATTGTAAGGCAAAAAAACGACATCAGGAATGCAGCCAGCTGTCAGTTCAACAACTCTGCAAAGCGAGCTGTCAGTGTGACACAGGGATAAAATAACCTTTGCTGTTTATAACTATATATCCATTGGATTTCACCATTTAACTTGCTTTGTTTTAGAAGCTTCTGTTAAATTTTATTTGATTTCACTTACGTTTGGGATCCTAATCAATCAGACATCTACATCAATATCACACACTGTCGTCCAGATACATCCTGAAGTAACATTCTTTTAAAACATTCCTCACCACCACTCTCCCTTACCTCCCTGCCTCTTTGTCTTTTAATCTCAAAGTTTTCACATCAATTATGTCTACTAGTTTTTGTAGGTTATTTTACTTTCTCAGATCATCAACTGTATAAGTGCCCAGTATCTGTCATTCTGACTTGCTCTTCTACACATATTTCCCAAGAGCTCCTTCCAAACTTCTGTGAATGGCTGTATTTTATCTTTTCTTATAACTGAATAGTATTCCATTGCATACCCCCCTTCTTTTTTTTTTTTACATTTTTAAAAGACAGGTTTATTAGGAAAAGGAGAACGAAAAAGAGAGACACCTGCGTAGTGACAGGTGGGCAGGACAGCTGCCTTACATGCTTTGCAAAAGGAAAAGGTTTGTGGAAAAGAAACACCTGCGTAGTCACAGGCAGACAAGAAAGCTGCATTTTCACACATCGTGATCTAATTACCTATTGATGATATTAGGCTGCTTTTATATCCTTGCTAGTACAAAAAGCACAGCAATTAACACTGTATAACATATAGCACTTTGCATACGGCAGAGCAAGTATAATTTTCTTTTCTAGGGGATAATTTAATTACCTTTAACTATCTGCTTAACTTTCCCTACTTTCTCACAACTCCTGTCACCCTGATGTTTCTCTATCCTGCACAACTAACATGCGCCGATAAACTTCACTTCTTTATTCTATAATCAATCACTAAAACAATCAACAGGGGCCCTCCCTGGTTAAAGCACAACACTACAAAGCTAGCTGCTGCCACTTCAGCTTGAGTTCGATCCCAGCAAGGGAGGTCACACACATGACATGGCAGGCCTCTCCTGACCCACCCGCTTCTCCCCTCAGCAGTGTACTTCGATCTGCCTGTTCTGCTCCCCACTCTGTCTCTGGTAAATCCTCTCACACTCACACCTCTGGCCTGTACCTCAGTTCTGTGTGCATAAATAAATAAAATCTTTTTAAAAAATCAACAAAGTTAAGAGTACAGTCTCATTACTTGCAAAGTAAACATTATTTAATTGAAAGTTTCATTGCTTCATTGTCATACCTATTACAAATGCGAAGAGGGGAAGCATCATCACATGCCCTCATTTAATAAACTACATATCCATCCTTAATTACAGACAAGGTGTAATTCAAATGTAGAGGCATTGTCTTCCTCATCTCAAATGAATATATCAATGTCTATGAATCTGAACATCAAAGGAACCTGGGGAGTGTATGGAAACAGTTCTCCAGGTGGCTTTCATCATCAGATAAGGTCTGATGAAAGGGGCAACAGAAACCAATTTCACTTTGAGGATGAAATATGCTACAATGTTCCCAAGAAAATCTAATATAATATAGTGAACTCTTTTGAATGCCCCAGGAACATAGCTTACCAGGATTGTTTGTAGACACCACACAATACTTACTCATAGAATGAGATCTCATGGTAAGGCCCAAGATCACTGTAGAGAGGGGTTTATAGTTTCATTTAGGAGCCTGAACGCTCCGATGAACTGTTGCACTAAAAAGGTGGGGAGAGAGAGAACACATATTAATGAACATCCATTGTCCCATATTCTTTCCACTCTGAATCTGGTAAACTAGTCAGGGTTTTGTCCTCATTGTTGCAAAGTACTGCTTTTGCTTCACAGTCCTACTGCAGAAAACTGTTGAAGAGTTTAAATGATACATAAATAGCATAATGTTTGTTTATATTCTGCAAAAAATCGTAACTCAATAGTTACTTCCATGATGTCTTTAGAATTTTGCAGTATATAAACAAACATTATTTAGTATTTACGTATCACTTAAACTCTTCAACAGTTTTCTGCAGTGGGATTCATTATTTAATTCTACATATGAGACAACGGTTGCAAAAATTCTTATAACTGCCTCATAATCACACAGCAAGGATCACGGGGACAGAGCCTGCGTTAAGGCGATCTTCCAATTCTCAAATGAAATAAAATAGTATACCACTAGATGGAGCTGCACCAAGTTAATAAAAGTTATCAAAGATTCTCATGTAGAAAACAGGAAGTACAAATTTTTAAAATTCCTTTCTTTCTCATTTATACAAATTATTTTATAAACAGGATTGTGCTCATTTTAAACAAAATATATTGAGGTATTTTCTCCAAATTGAAAGACACTGTGTTGTGATCATGTGAGTTATAATAAATATACAGAATATATTTTGCAGAGTATATATATTAATCTTTGTCCCTTCCTGGAATGAAAGTCCTATAACTCCTGTAATGTCCAGAGATTTTTTTTATGTTAATAAGGCAACTTTAGTACTACCCCAAAGGATAGGGTAGGGGACCATAGATGCTCGGCCTTTGAGACATAGTTAGGGCTTCTGTGAAAGGTCCCCAGGCCAAGGCTGTTAGCCCAGCTACTGGGGATCCTGCTGGCTTGCTGCTGTTGATTTTGTGGAGACCTGGAGGGGTAGAGGCAGGTGAACCTAGGAACAACCCCTATGCGAATTGCTGTGTTGGATTGGAAATGGCACCTCAATACTGTATTCCCTGAAAGTCAGCATGTGTTGCCTGACAGGCTTTGATTTTTTTCTGCTTAGGAAATCAAATCTAATTATAGATATAATATAAATCTGGAACATTTATTTATGTTCACCTTAAATGTGACACCAAATCCTATTTTCTATAAAAATAAAAAGAGGGCTGGAACTTTCAGCCCAACTCCATGACCAGAGGCCACCCTGTCCCACTTTCTCCTCTGCCTTACACTGGAATTGGGAGCAGCCCCTGACCTGCCAACTCTATTTGCATACCTTTCATGTGTTTGCTACAGTCCAAGTCTGAGATGGTAAGAGGGGCTGGAAGTTGAGTCTGTCAATCATAGCTATATAATGAAGGCTTGATTAAAACCCAGTAGGGGCCCTCCCTGGTGGCACAGCAAGTTAAAGCACAGCTCTAAGAAGCTAAAGCCACTTCAGCATGAGTTCGACACCCACCTGGGTGTGACCCACGTGGCGCAGCAGACCTCTCCTGACCCACCCACTGCTCCCCTCAACAGTGTACTTCACTGATCTGCCTGTTCTGCTTCCAACTCTGTCTCTGGTGAAGCCTCTCACCGCCCCTGCACCTCTGGGCTGTACCCCAGTTCTTCAAAAAACAACAAAAACAGTAGGGTTGGATTGAAAGAGCATCTGAGTTCATGAGCACATGGAGATTTGGGAGAGTGTTCTGCTCACAGAGGGCACAGAATCTCTGTAGCCAGTCCCCATTTTTGTAGATTGTTTTCATTTGGTGCTACCTAATTATTTTCTTTTATAATAAGACTTCTACTAGTATAATGTTTCTCTTGAGTACTGTGAGTGGCTCCAGCAAATTAGTCAGACCCAAGGAGAAGATCCTTACAACCTCTATAAGCACAGGAATAACCTGGGCTTAGAACTAATTCTGAAGTGGTGGGGGCGGCAGCCCCTACCCTGTGAAACCTGAAACTTCTCCAGACAGATAGTGTCAGGATAGAGTTGAGTTACAGGCTCTTCAATGGTGTCAAGACCTGCAGTGGTAGGAGGAACCCACTCCCCAGGCTCCACTTGGGAAAAGCTGTACAATCTTTAGCTGCCAATCCACTTGCATGTAAAATATGCACATAGATTGCTTCTACACGATATAAAGATTGCAGGTATACCAAAAAAATGCCTTTGATCCCTGCAACTTACAGACTCAGCGGCCACAAATTTAAAGAACTAGAAGAGGATTGAAAACACAGCTGTCTGGGAGATATTTTAAATAAAGGAAAAAATGCAAGAGAAACTTGAACCTCTAGTTAAAGCCAGAAATAAATTCAGATATTCATTTGCAATGCTAACAATGAATATATCAGTGTGTATATATATATATATATGGAATATATGAATATATATTTCAAAAAGGAATGTCATATTAATATTAATTAGAGGTAATATCTTAAAGGAATTCTTTAAAGAGATGTGAACTGCAAACCTTACAGTAAGTATTGCAGACTGCTTAACAAGCAACTCAGAGGGAGATTTACAAGCAGACTGTTTATTGGGGAAAGACCTTCGGATTTACACCTTCAAAGTAGAGTAGAGAAGATCTGGTGCATGGAGAAGTCAAATTATGATTTAGTAACAACAGAAGTCTAATAGCCCCCACAGAAAACTATCAAGCTACATCTGTGAGCTGTCATTACAGTTTCTGTATCTAATAATTCTTGGATGTGGACTGCCAGAGGAACAAATTGCTGACATAAATAAAGGCAATTTTTAAATTGCGTTCTCTGTGGGCAGGATTAAGTTTTTCAGTGCAGAAAGGGCCCTGGATAGTACATGACAGCATGCATGGGCAGAATCACCTTTGCCTTAGTCGGATAAATTTCAGATCTAATCACTGGATTACCTACTCATAACAGGCAAGATTTCTTTACTACTGAGTTATTAATATCCTCTTGCTAAGGAGAACCTATGTCTGAATGGGGGGCGTTCTTTCATCTCTACTTCTTCAGTTACACATAATATTTACAGAAATAAGTCTTTTCATATGAAAAATAAAACGTACAAGATCATCCTTTTACTTAGTGTCAGTATTGAGTTCCTAAATTCATCGCACGCCTTAGAATGTTAAAAATGAAAGGTGATTCTAAGGCATGACCACAAGATGGCAGCATATACATATGATAATTAAACTTCGCTGTCCAGGAAATCAATGCAAGTCCTTTAGAATGATATTCTAGAATTATTCTAAAGATTAACTACATGAGTTACATAAAATCCAATTGTAAAAATAGTCTTCTTACTTTGTTGGTATTATATCATCTCTTTTAAGTGGATGTAA